AGAGACGCTGTTCACGGCAGGTGGCGCAGGGCCGCCCAGGCGGTGCCTCGCTCGCTGTCGTTGATGTAGTGGATCTCATCAGACACGACGACGCCTGAACGCGAAGGCCGTCCGTCAAGAAAGGAGCGCTGTGAAGGGTGGGCCGCACCCGAGCAGACAAGGGCCGAGGTTGTCGAGGTCGAGGTCGCGCATGCTCGTCCCCTCGGACGTGCTCCTCTCGGACGTGCTCTTGGCGGGCGGCGCCGGCTCCGCTCCTCCGGCGGCGGCGGCGGCGGGCGGCGGCTGCGGCGGCGGTTCGTGCGGGTTCTTGACGAGCTTGTTGCGCAGAATCTCGGAGGTGCAGATGATGAGCTCGTGCTTGACGCCGGGCGGCGAGCGGATCTTGATGTCGCCGGTGAGCAGCGCGACGCCGGCGCTCGCCATGCCTCGCTTCGAGAACCAGGCCTTGAACTCTGCGTACTTTTGGTTTGAGAGCGCCTTGATCGGCGACGTGTAGACCGCCTTCTTGCCGCGCCGGAAGGCCTGCAGGATGGCCATCAGCGCGACCGCTGTCTTGCCAGAGCCGGTGGGCGCCATGGCGAGCAGGTCCAGCTCGGGATGGACGATGACCTCCAAACAGCCGCACTGGAAGCCATCCGGCGGGTACCCCATGATCGTCGTCACCTCGTCCTTCTTCAGGGTGCCGTCGCCGCCGTCGTCGCCGAATGGGTCGTCCGCGGCGGCGGCGGCCTTGGCACGGCTTGAGCCCGCGACGACCTTCTCCGCCTCGGCGTGCGAGATGCCTGATGACGAGCCATCAACGAGTAACATCAACGAGTCACCAACGCCTAGTTCTTGCGCCTAGTTCTTGTTCTTCTTGTTCGCCTCGTCGTGCGGGATGCCCGCGAGGTCGACCAGCTCCGCCATATCTCGGCTAGATCTCGGCTAGATCTCGCCAGCGAGGTCGACCAGCTCCGCCGCCGAGCAGAGGGTGAGCGCCTCGAGCCCGACCGAGCACGCGCCGAGAAGCCGCTCGGTCGCCTCCGATACGCCGCACCGCCGCAGATGCGCCACCACCTCCGCATCAAGCTCGGCCTCCTCCTCCTCCTTCTCCTCCGCCGCCGCCGGTGCCCCCACGCCCCCCTCCCCCGCCGCAGCGGTGCCGGCGGCGGCGGGCGAGGCGGGCCCCTCCCCTGCAGCGGAGAGGGGCGCGGCGCCGCCAGAGACGGAGAGAGCGCCTTGCACCGCCGCGGAGAGCGACTCGCCCACGTGCCTCGCCTCCTCCGCCGCCCTCGCCTCGTCTGCCCGCAGCGAGAGCAGCGCCTCCAGCCCGACCCGCGCCTAGAAGTGTCTAGGAAGTGTCTAGGAAGTGTCTACGAAGCGCCGGAAGTGTCGCCTCCAGCCTGGCCCGCGCCTGCGTGAGCTGCTCGCGCACGGCGGCGCCCTTGGCGAGCTTCGTCAGCTGGTTCGACTGCAGCACCTCGCCCGCGTCCTGCCTCGCCTTGAGCTTGCCGATGTCATCGACCTGGAAGCACAGCTTCTTCACCTTCCGCTCGAGCGCCGCCTTCTCGTCGTCTGCCGCCTCGCCGCCCAACGCCGCCTCCACCATCCTCCTCGCCTGCTCACACCTTGGGGCCCGTGACGAGACGGCCGCAGCAGCGCCCGCCCTCCGCCCCCCTCCTCGCCGCCGCCACGTCGACGGCGCTGCCCGGCCCGCCGCTCGCAGCCCGAGAGGCGGAGAGCGGAGAGCGCGTCGGCAGCGATCCGGCGGGCGTCGCCGGGGCCGACCCTGAGTCATCAAAGCCGCGAGCTGAACTGTTTAGCAGTTCGCCTCCGGCGGGGCCCTGGGCCGACGCCGCGCCGTTGGCGGACGGCGTCGACGGCGCGTCGCTGCTTGGGACGCGCACCTGGTCCACAGCACAGAGGTGTGACGCCGCCGTCGACAGCGAGAGGCCTCCGCCGGTTGGGAGGCGCACCCGCAGCTGGGTGCGTCCGCGCTTGAGGATGCCCCACACCTCGAGCTCCACCTGGTCACGGCCCGGTGCGTGAGGAGAGGCAAGCAAGGAGAGGGGCGGGCAGTGTGCTCCAGCTCCGCCTCCTCGCCGCCGCCCTGCTTGCCCGACAGCGCGGCGGCGAGCGGCTCGGCAAAGTACGAGTCCGAGAGCGGGATGCGAACGCGCCCTCGCTCCGTGTAGAGGCGCAAGCACGCTCCTAATCAGTGAACGGCGCTCGTCGAGTGCCGAGGAGTTGTCGGCGTCACTGCGCGGGCCACGCTCCTCCCCACTCAAGGAAGTGTCTAGGAAGTGTCTAGGAAGTGTCTAGCCACGCTCCCCCCCACTCGTCGTCTAATACATACTACATAACATATAATATATAATATCTAGCCACGCTCCCCCCCACTCGTCGTCGAGCTCGACGCGGCCGCGGTACACCATCGGCGCCTCGCGGCAGCGGTAGGCGAGCTCCATCGCCGACGTGTGGGCGTGGTAGCGAGAGAGCGCCGTGGCGCGCTCGTTGAGCGCCTCGATCGGCGCCTCCTCCGCCGCCGCCGCCGGCAGCGACCCGAGCAGCGCGTGCTGGCAGTGCAGGTCGGCGTACCGCCGGATCGGCGACGACACGTGCGCGTACGCGGCGAGGCCGAGCGACGCGTGCCCTCGGGTGGAACCCTTGTGGCTCGCCAGCTGGTAGCGGGCCGCGAGGGGGCGTCCCCCGGGAGGGGGAGGCTCCTGCTCGCAAGTGAAGCGCTGTGAAAGGCGTCTGTTCACAAGCAGCGTGGACGGCTCAGCGGCAGCAGCGCCTGCACGCGCAGCAGCCCGGCCGGGCCGGCGGCAGCGTCGGCCGCCTCGACCAGCCGCTCTCCGAAGTACGAGTTGTACTCGATCATGGTCCACGCGACGAGGTCCTCCGGCTCCGCCTCGCCTGGGGGGAGGCAACACACAAGATTGACGGACCCGCGCCGGGCGTGACGAAACCCTCCGACTCGCCGCGCCCGAGAGCGCGCGCAGCAGGTCTCGCACAACCTCGAGGGCGGGGGTGGCGGCGGCGCCAAGCGCGGCGTACGTGGTCGCCTACTTGAGCTCATATCTCCCTATATCTTCCCAAATCTCCCCATCAAGCGCGGCGTACGTGGTCGCCTCTCGGTTGACGAT